AAATTGTTAATTTCTTTTGATAATAAATCAAGAGTTTGCAAGCGTTCCATTTCATGCAGAGAAACGGCAATTCTGACGACGACAGCAGCGGTGGTGGTAGTGGTTCAATACCACACGAAATGCAATTCGGCAGCTCATTTTGTGTCGAATGCAACTGCCATTTAAATTTTGCAACCAAATAAATGAGCTGAACAACTTGAGGCATTCACTTGATAGACTTCGGTTCGACGTCTATCACTCATTCGGTTGCTATCGGAACCCTCGATCTTTCAGTCGCTCTTTTTCGGCTCGCACAATATTGTGCGAAATATTTTTTAAAAAATATTACTCAAGCAAATGGAATGATGTGGCGTATAAAATGAAATCGCTTTTGATTTGCACAACAGTTTTTGGATATCCAGTCAGTTATCAAAGGAAGTGAGTGAAGAGACGCATCGCCATCAAAGTGTTTTTCAAAATTCAAATTCTTTTCGATTTTTTTTATCCGCAGAAATAGCTCGCATTTTCTTCTCGCAAGCGAATTTTTTTCGACAAGCAATTTATAAAAGCATTCGAATATGAATGGCCATCGATCTACAAGTCTACTTGTTATCTTTGAGCTAGCGGCAAAAATTCTGTTTGTCTTGCTGCTGATTATTCCAATATCAAGCGAAGGAAGAAGAAGAAGAAAAAATGCCAAAGAAAATATTTCCATTTCTTTCATCCATTATGAGTTGATGTCGTTTTTTTCTGTTTTTCTACGGTGTTTTTACGGTGAAATAAAGTAATTTTAATTCCAATGCAAATTGCAATCGACATCGTAGAGCGCTTTGACGAAAAATAATCAGAATCAGCATCATCATCATCAACGCCAACTGTTCAAAGCGGTTGTTCAGTTAAAAAAAAATTTCTCATTTACTCGCCAAATTGTTCATTCCTCTGAAGACCCAGTAGCTCAAGACAATTTAGCGAATATATTCGAAAGTGACAAAGCCTTCAAGAGGAGAGCCTCATATTAAGTTGGCAAGTGTTTTATCGTGAGTGGCATTCCTTGAAATTTGAGCATTTATCGGTGCTATTCTTTCAACTGATGCCTCCGAAATAATCTTCTTGTCATCAACGGCAAGAAATATTTTAATATATATATTTCAACGCAGAGCGTGAGTGTGAAGCAAGAGAAAAAAAAGTTTGACACGCTTGTTAATCGAGGGCATACTCCAAGTTCCGAATTCCATATTGAATATGTAACAGGAGAACAACAGTACAAGAATATTTAATACATTTTGTGTTTCTCTCTCTCTCTCTCACACACACACACACACACACACAGTTCATGTCTTGGCATGTTTCGCGTCTCATCCCATGCTGTTTCGAATTTCGAGTGTTATAATAAGGGCTTAATACACAAAATGCAGAGTAAATGGCACACAATTTTCTGTTTTCCAGAGTTGATTTCGTTCGTCGTTCTTCCTCGCGCACTTGTCGCTAATGATTTGTACAGAAAACCAATTTGAATAATGCTCGCCTCCCCCATGGTCTCGTTCACAATTCCTCTTTTTCGTTTTTTTTTTTTCTTGAGACGCCGACACTTCTTCATCGAAATGTTAGACACTGACAAAAGGAAAAAAAGCGGTGTAGTCGTCAGACGCAAAAGTCTGCTGCTTCTTTTTCTAGCTTGATTGTTGTTCTTTGCAATGGCATACAACTTCATGATGAACAAAATGTTTGGCGTGATAATTTGAGAGGTTTCGAAAGCGCAGGTGAATTACCGTGGCAAAAACGTCCAAAAGGTCGTTGAAAGCAACGGAATTTACTTTTCGTTTCAATTTCCACCAGGAGTCAGAACAGAAAATGCTCTGAAAATACTTAACGACAAAAACTGGTGTAACAGAATACAGAGATAAAAAGCCAGACAACACAACGATACTTCTCATCGCCTGCATAGCTCTACTACTTAACTCTTTGACGACCTTTGGGACACATATGTCCCATTTGGTTTTTCGTCTATAATTTCCACATTTTTAAATCAATTTCGAAAAAATTAGTTTCTCTTGAAAGAGAATGAATGTAGCTACCAGAAAGTACCATGATATTGGATATGTATTATCGCTGTGTTCGAATACGACACTTCAAAGTCGAAAAATCTTAACTTTTTTTTCCAAGTTGCGCCAAACCCTATATAATTTGAACGGTGCAACTTTTAAAGCTGAAAATTTGAAATGATGTGCGGAATGTTCGTTACTTTCTGAAAATAATCGACTTCATTTAGAAAAAACATTTCTTCCACTTTTTATTGCGTTTGACGCGATGGGACATATGTGTCCCTTTGGTCGGTAAAGGTAAATGGCACAACAAAGCATAATACAAACCATTTTTGGTTCCAAACAAATCTAAAAACTTTAAAAACGAAAAAGATTTTACACGTAGTTCTCATAAGAGACATGTTTTTTTTCCATAGAAAGATAGTTACCGTTACCGACCAATGGGAGACATATGGCCCATGTTTTTTTCATATTTCCAGTTGAAAAAATTAATTTTTGATAACATTTTTATTATGATTTTTGGGGTCGCTGAGCACGAATCTTTTGCAGAATTGCAAAATTCCCATATGTTCAATTTTGGTCGTCAAAGGGTTAACAAATCTTCATGCTACAAGACAATTGCGCAAAAGGGAGAAACACTCTCACTATGTGAGTGTGTATCAAAGTTGCTTACACAGGCAGAATCCATGATTGAGTTAGTACACCGTTTGGACTGGCTGCACCGATGTTTCATGAAATTATTATTTCGATTAAGTGGAATTAAGATTAAAAGATTCCTCATCTGTATCATCAATTGGCATTCATTTCGAGTGCCATTACTTCTATCGTTACCATTGCCTATTAATATGAGCATTGCGCGTATAATATATATGCATATTCATGATGTTTCGAGGGGGTTGAATTTGTTTATTCATCGACTTTTGTCGATGTTGTGCCACTCTGCCGGTTGCGTTTTTTTTCTCTCTATAGTGGTGCCTTGACTGCGATTCGTTTTTCCAATTTTACGTACATGAATAATTGCCTTGCGACGGCTCAAATGTGCTCATTCTGAATACTGCTTCTGTTCTTTTTTTCTCCCTTCATTCTCTTCATGCCTCGAATTTCAATGGAAATTAATTATCGTATATAATTTTGAGCGGCGAATGCTATTTGCTTTCACGTCGATTGAACGAGAAAAATCGCTCATTAAATACTTTAGACATCTCGTTCCGTGGACCACGGAAAAATATCCAAACGAAGCAAAACAAAAAAAAACACTTCCACAAATTAATTCGAAGCCGCAATGAAAAATGGCCTCGAATCAAGTGGATGTATTTTTACGGAATCTTATGCCAGAAAAAAGCATCGTTCCATTTGCAGACTACCATTTTTGGAACAATGTCTCGTGACATCAATGAATCAGACTCATTGTTTCGCGTGAAATGAAATCGCTTTTGATTGTTAGTCACATGACTGATGCATTCCAAGACATCAGAAAAATGTGGCTATTTCGCATTCTTTGCTTTGAAGTGTGTGTGTTCAATCTAAATCAAAATTCAATTATTTTTATGTGAATATCGCACCCATACAAACGATAATAAATGATGATGATGACTGTGAATGGATGAATGTGTGCGCGCGCGTGCGAGCGCGAGATTCTGCTGTAAAAATCGCCTGGGCAACGTGCACAACGGCAAATGAATATTTATTATGTTTGAAACGGCAGCTCCTTGTGTTGTTTATTCATTTTTCTCTTTTTCTCCTCGTCGCTTCCAATCTCGACACGGTGCTGGAGCATTGGCATTCTAAAGAGCGTTAATTTGTTTTTCCTGCCATCGTGAGCACGCCTTAGAACGTGCTCCGGAATGGTCGTCCAAAAAAAACACACAATCCGGAAAACACACTTAATTGTTTTGAGCGTGAAAAGCATAATTACTCCACTCACACTGTAAGACACTGATGAGTGAAGCGCCATAAATTATTTATCCTGTTTTGATGGGCCGGCCATTTTCTTTTCGTTTGAAAGATTTCATTAAATTTGCAAACATTGAGCAATGACGAAAGACAACAACAGCTAAAATTGCCCCATCTCTTCTTTGTATACATTGCATCTCGGTGTTTTTTTTCATCTTCACTTTCTCTCCCCTTAGGGACCAGACACAAATTCTAGTAGAGTCTAGTTACATTCAATTTTATATATTTTTGCTTTATGTCCTCTAATTTTTCTAGTTTTGGTGCAAAAGTGCTAATATTGTGCTATTATTTCTATTAAAATCGGTTGCAGAGCGTATTACACTGACAATACAACGCTTATGGAAGACCTAACGGGATTATTCTGTAAACAATGAACAATACGTCCATAAGCGTTAACATTGGCAAACCAAACTCACTAATTTCTTCTATTTTTCCTATTATCATTGAATAATGTTCTAATTTTACTCATTTAAGTTTCGTGTCTCCCCTAGCTCTCCCCGCATTATCTTCATCGGTTCAATTTCCTATTAGTGTGACGCGCGCTCCATGTGAAATATTAAAGAACCAAATTGCATGCAATTTGCTCTCATTTGACAATGGACACAAAAGTGAAACGCCTTCCAGATGCTTTTAATGTGTTCAACACACAGAGAGAAAAGAATTTTAATTCCGAAAAACTTCTTCGAATGACTTTTGTTGGTTTTTTTTCTCGTCAACTTTGTGAAATATGGCTGTCGCTGAAAAATGAATAGCTCCAGCGATCCAAAGTGATTGGATGCACTTAAACTTCAATCGGATTAATAGTGCACTTGAATAGTATTTAATTTATTGCTGCTATTCGTTCACTTGAATCCTTTCAATAACGCGATGAAGCGAAAACGTTGCGCGCTAATCGTGCTTTCGAATTCCAAAGCATATATTGCGTTCGTCAAGCACTATTGAAAATTGTTCAAAGCCGCTATTTTTCTTCTTCTCGCTATTGAAATGTTAAAACCTGAAAAAGGATTTATTTACAACTGCACTTACCGATGACCATCAAACGGAATGCTTGGCTGATTTTCGGTTCCATTGATACCTGACATTCATATGTGCCCGAATCGCGCGGTTGCGGCGATGTTATTTTAAGTGTCCACTCATCGGAACCCTCCTGATGCATGGCCTAATTCAAGCCGAAATTCCGATTATTACTCGTTCTCATTACGATTATCATTTGGCGTTATCACTATGACCAGTTTTGATATCATTGCTTAACTTACTTGGAATCGTTGATCCGATGAATAGGTCAGAATGCCCACGGTGAGTATGTGCAAATCACGCTTTCGAATCCAGCTCACCTGCAATGACACAAGACAATCGAATCAAAATATCAAACCAGTTATGAAAAATTATGTCAATTCATTGAAGCCCCCTACTGCATAGCACTGAAATTCTGTATGAAAAGTAGACGGAAAAAACATCGGACAAAAAATCACGGCAATAATTCGTTTGGCTGTAACAAAAAAACGACAAAAGAGAATGTCATTTCATATGAGTGTGAGTGGCATGTGGGAACGAAAGAGAATCAGAGAGAGAAAAAAGTGTCGCTAACACGAGCACCAAAGCGTAGGTGAGGATGTAACATATTTCAAGTGTAAAACATTTGGTGCGCGCCTGAACGATTTATAAGCCAAAATAAATGGTAAAATAGCACATTCTTTGCTCACTGTTTCGATTAAGCTGCCGCTCTGCACGTTCGCGACGTTCCAGCTGACGTTGAATCGAGGGAGAGGGAGAAAGAGAGGGAGGGGAAAAAGTGTTCACTTGTGAAAATCTAATTTAAGTTCGAAATGCGAACGTGTATGGAGCAAAATCAAGGCCGTAGTCAGCTTCCAAAGTCTGAAGGCGCTCAATGAAAAATTATGGGTGCTTGCAAAAAATAGTTTAGAAGAATGAAAGAAGCAAATGGATAGTGTTTTTTTCTACCTTGAAGCTGTTTTTACTGAAATATTTCTGAAAACAATTGGAGGAAAATGAATAGTACAATTCAGGATAATTTGAGAATATCGGTTATTTATTTAAAACAGACTAATCGTTTGAACGTTGAGAAAACAAATGTTTAAAATAGCGTAATTTTGCGGTTTTTTTCTTCAGAAAACTAAGTTTTCAAATTGCTGTTTCTGCATTTTCTGGTTTTTCTTTTTCTTTTATCAAAAATTTCGAGACCACATCCAATTCTGCGTCACATGGTAATATCAAACCAATCTTTTCCAACGGTTCCAGGGCTTTTCTATCGATATTTGAATTCACTTCACTTACTGTTCGCTTGAAATATAGATCGAAACTCCGCCACTGATTTCAAATCAACATTTCATGTAAACATGAACCGAATCTGACCGAAGAGTCTATACAATTATCGATTCATTTATCAATGCCACAGTTTTTCGATTGATTTTTTTCGTTTTTTTTTTATTTTCAAAGTTTGGCTTTTTGCGCCACCGTGACTACGGCCCTGAGAAAAATGATCCATATTTCATATGCTTGGTGTGCGGATTTTTTTTTTGTTTGTGTGCATAGTCGCAAATATGACACAGAAATTTAGTGAGAAGAGAACGAGAGGGAAAAAAGAACGAACGACGAAATAATTTTTTCAAACGAATGTTTCATACGTGTTGAATTTGGTTGCCGAAAAGGGGATAAATAAATTATTTTTTTGTAACTCTGTAACAGCCATTGGACATTTTCATTTCGCAATGGGAATTAAAGCTCTCTCTCTCTCTCATTTTCGTTTGCTTGGACGGCAGCAATTTTTTTCTCCTTATCTTGTACCTATGTGGCTCAAATTAATTCTTTTTTCATATATTTTTTTCTTCTTTGTTTTTAAGCAGGTCTTGCATTCGTAAGCATTTTGCGATAACACATTCATTTTCATCCATTGTGGATTAAAAACAAATTTCGAGACTGTCTTCGGTACCCATTTTTTCCATCACTGCCGACGACACAATAAGCACATTAAAAAATTTCATTTTTAAATCAAATTTTATGCTTGCTTCGTAAAAATGCATAATGATCCAGTCTAACGACTTAGGCCGCAAAAACGATTGGATTTCATTTTTATGCGCAAAGTGCTGCAGAGCGAGAAAAACGGAGAGCAGCGAGAGAGAGAGAGAGAGAGAGAGAGAGAGAGAGAGAGAGAGAGAGAGCACAAAAGAGAAGTAGAAACAACAACGACAACAACAGAAAAAAAGCACATCGCCAAACATTATCCTTTAATGCACGGGCTTTTTGAATCAAACCGAACATATGTTCGTTTTTGCGTTATAATGGAAGCAGCCAGCCGTTAACCGACCAACGAATGAGCAATTTTCAATTCCCTGCACAAAGCTCACCTCACTCGTTTTGTGCTCACACACATAAAAATATTCCGTTTTTCTTTGTCTTTTCATCATATTCAGAGTCTTTCCGTTTGCTTTCCAGGGATATCAGTGGAAATGATGAAACCACAAATAATTTTTTTCCGTTCGGATATTGCGAGTAGAATTTTGCTTGCTTTACTAAAAAAAAATCATTTTAATTAAAAGCAATGTTCTTTGTTTCAGGTCCAATGTGATTCTTGACATTCACTTTTTTCGACGAGCAGATCAATTTTCAACAGTGTCATGAATTCACAATTGTTGATGTCGTATAAGTTTTTCGCTTCAATGAGTCGAAAATGGAATTGTGAAACGTGTTAAATAATGTGCGAAACCTAATTAAAAATTGTATCCAACTTACCGCTCGATCGCCCAGATTGCGTACTTTGCAATGGAGCAGTGCCGGTTGTCCAACGGTCGCGGTAACGTCTCGTTTGGTTGTGTTATCAAAAAATGGCTGTGCATACGGCGTCTCCCAATAATGTACGCTGTTCTCACCACACATCGTCCTTGACACTGTGAAAATAGAGAGGGAAAAAGAGAAAACCACACAACAAAATGCAAATTAATGACTTTCCATTTATTTCATACCAGTTGGACAGAAAAAAAGTTCAAAGTAGTTTTACGGAAACTTCTTTTCCCCTTTTAAATATCTGTTAAATTCACATCAGTTTCAATTTAACGGGGTGATTTCTCAGAAACACGCTACAACTCCCAGTATCAATGTCAATGAAGAAACAAGTTAAAACAGCAATGATTTTCAATTTGCTAGAGATTATTTGTTCAGAATCCCCGAGAATACAGCAGCATCGTTATTGCTATTGATACTCGACGTGATTAATAGAGATGTATCTGGATTTCACGGTAAACGAACACACACAAATAAACACATACATACACAGAACTGTGATGCTGCAGTTCACGTCAAAACTTTTCTTTTGAAAATGTGTTGATGTGGGTTCAACCGTTTCTACTTTGGATATCAACTGTAATCACTGTATCCCGTTAAAGGGATACACTAATTATGTGATTTGATGTTATTGCGGTGGTACACACAGTATGAACACGTTGATGGCATATTCTATGGAATGGATTTGTTCGTACTGTTTTTCTTTTTCTAAACTTTTGACCTTTTTCAAGAAACAACTATTTGATACTTCACACATTTCACCGTGTTCATCGCGCTCATACTTCATCATGACGAAGATGTTGTACATTGAAAGCTGCATGAATTTAGCTGCATGAAGCAAGTTTTTGGACACTTGGGAGAACTCCATAAATATTCCATTATCTTGCCGAATGTAAAAGGCGTAAAAAATCCTTCCTGCTTAGTCATTTAGCTCCAGTGGCACAGTGTGCCACGGCTATTGCAAACGAAGTTTCGACTTAAAAAATGAACCTCTTGTCACACTGCATATTAATCACACACACTGTAAAATGTTCCAACTAACACAAACAAAATTGGCCAAACAAACAGGGATTATACGCTTTTGTGTCGAGCCGACAATGAAACGGGGCTAGTGGGTAATCCGCCGCGCACATGTATCTTCGCATTCCGTAACGGTGAACAATTTATAGCCTTATAGTGAATCGTAAGTTTAAAAAGCAAAAAAAAGAACACGAACAAACTTCCATCCTCTATTTATGGAGTACAGTGAGCTGCACATGTGACGTATGGCAAAGCCAAAAACCATGCAGTGTGACGTTGTGCTGTTGTCAAATGGTTTACGGTAAAACGAAAGAAAAAATGCGCGCGTCCCAGCACATTGGCTCTTTGCAATGAAATAGATGTGCATTGCTATGAGAAATGACATACTGGAACAACAGGGAGGCTAGTTAGAGCGAATGTGGCATTAATAATGAAAAAAAGTCGCATTCGAGGAAGAAAATCAATGCTAATCAAATAATCAGAACGAAGTACCGAGCTCATGATCTGCTCTTGGCGAGGATATAAAAAGCACATATGTTTGTGAGTTTGAGATGCTTGTCACATGATGTGAAACTCTGACTTCGTTGTGTTCCGTTTGATTCATTTTTCTCATTGACTGCACAAATCACTGAATTGAAAAATTAAAATTATGGTCTTGTTAGAGGCAAATGAAAGACACAGAGCGACAGCGAGTGCGTGAGAGAGAGAAGAGGTTTGAGTGCATGACATTTGACAACGGTAAATAAGATCCAAAAGCGACGGATATCGAAATGGTATAGATAGAAATCCAGACGCATGAATCAAAGACCGGACAAAAATATCTATCGATATTGCTTTAGGACAATTTGTGAAGCACCACACTGCACAGTGTTCAGCAGAATGAAATTTGTCCAATTATATTCATCTGCTTGATACTAAAATATATTCTGACGCAAGTGGCTTCTAAAGTTCTGCACTTCGCACCGAATCAATTGAATTATTTTTCGAAATTCTAGACAATTTTGTCGCATCGAATTCGAAATATTTCTACTACCTTGCAATCCAACGCGTTGCTCAATTCGTTTCTTACCTTCAATTCGAGAGAAAAGATATTCCGATGAACAAGTGAAATGGAATTTTTCAAAAATGTATACGATCCGAATGGATCCGCTTATAGTTGGAATATTATTATGCATATTTTATGAGTTTCGTTTCACTGTTCTTTCATCGTAAACAACACACTTTGAAAATATGTTGCTGGTTGTGCATTTTGCTTGTGCTTTCCCGTATTTGTGTCAAAAACTTTACAAACAGGAAATCGTAATTCGATTCTATTGAGAATCCAGAGAAAAAAATGATTCGCTATTGTATTTGGCGTTTTTTTTTCGCCCGTCACCTCTTCTGTTCATACTTACCGCACTTTACTTTAAGACATTTATTTTATTCGCAACGATTGCACTTCTTTTTCCATCACATTCTCAACTTTCAATATATTTTGCAAAAGAAAAAATCGAAAATTCCTTCCAGCGAATCAGTTGGCAAATTCAATAAAGTGCCGAAAAAAACTGAGTGAACATTGAAACAGTGAGCTCTTTTCCATGTTATTTGCTCTTTTTTCCATCCTTTTTTTTTTCATAACGAATCCTTTCGAATGTGTCTGTTTGCAACGCAATCTTTGCTTCATATTCTTATTGGTCGGTTTTGGTGGTCTATTTTGGAAGGACGCAATTATTCATGAATCACAAATCAATTTTAATTAGTCTGCATTGGTATCGAAAACGGTTTGGAATATATATTTAGATTTTCACGTTTTCGTTTTTGTTCATGGATTTCTATAATATTCAGAGATGTTTCATAACTTTATCTTCTTCTGTTTGGCTGCTTTTAAAAAAGTCATGCACTCGAAATGAAATTTTGACAAATGACGCAATTTGATTTTTTCATTTCTATTTATATCGAAAAATTGTTTGCAATCATCGAAGCAAAAATGTAAATAAAAGTCATTTCAATGAGAACCAATCGAAATGAATTCAATTGGTATTTAATTAAATATTTGTAATTTCCTGTGCGAAAATCCGTGGGGCGAAATTGATTGAATCAATTGATTGAATATATTATAAATAATTGGTACTTTGGAGCAAAACATACACTTTGGATTGAAGCATTCATCCTTTTTATTAAATAACGCTCAATAATAACAACAACAGAATGTAGAGCAATGTCAATGTTGGATTTTCTCAGCAAATCGAGTAGGGGATTTTAATTTTATTCATCATTTTTTTTATTGAATTGAGCATTCCGCTGTAGTATAATTATAATAATTCCCTACCAATTCTAGGACAGTGTCCAACCGAATTGTGGCAAATGAATTGTGTCATTTCTCTTGTAAACAAATGACTTGAAAAGAGAGAGGAAAAACGCTCACTTTGTAATTTGCGTCATTCGCCATGTAAACATTGATAATACCAATACGAACGGTAGCAATCGAATGACAAATTGTTATGTGAAAATGATAAACGCGCATTTTCCAGTTTATTTGAGCGATGATTGCCATTTAGCCGTCATCGTCGTTGTTGATGATTGAAGAGCTGAAGTGAGCGCTGAACAGGCAACAAATCGATCAAAAAAAATATTTCAATATTTTATCTCAAAGATTGAAAAGCGTTTACTTGACTCATCGCACCCCATCCCATTCGCACCGCTAAGCAAAGCTGGATATTTTGACGCATGAAAATACATTCAAATGGTGGTCGTCTATCTACCACATGCCTGGCATTGTTGATGATAACACTAAAACATCTATACACATTTCTTATCTGTGCTCGCGACCCCTCTTGCCATAAATTGAAATATGGCTTTATCGTTTCTGCCTGAAATGTGAAATTCTGACATTGTGACAAAAGTCTCGTCGCATAACTCACACATACGACGTCTTTCTCTTGTCACCATTCGCTCTCAATGCGTTCGATGACTTTTCATTTTTCCCTTCTTCAAAAAAGGGATTCAGTTTTTATGTGGGTTTAATTTTATTTTGTCGCCCATGCAGTGCGACGTATAGATTGGTTCGACACGATTCATCTTTTGTTGTTTTATCTTGATTTTAGTACGTCTATTTATAATTCGAATGGTGTGTGTGTGTTTATGTGCAGTGCATTCGACCGAGGATTAAAACCGGCACCATCGTCAGCATCAACGTGTTCATCTGCCGTTGATATACGTAGCAATCGAACAGAAATCCTTGTTTACTGCATCATCACACCTTGTCTCGATCTTGATAAAGTACGTATACGTATATGGATTGAAATTGATGTTCGCAGCCGACAAAATAAATTAAATCTATTGATTTGGGCAATGTGTCTGTTTGGCTCGATGGAAAGCCGATTACGATGCATTGTTTGTGTTTCATTGGTTGATATCAACCAAAAAGGTACGTCAAAAATAAAATCAAAAAAACTCCGTAAAAGGTCGTCCGATGTATTTTTTTCATTGTCGTTCCAAATGCAATATTTTCATTCGGTTCACAAAGCCGCTGTTGATGAAACCAAATGTCTGCCGGGCATTTTATGTGGTTTTTAAATCGTTTAATCTGACATTGAGACATACGACGATGGCAAAATGTGTGAGAGAAGAACAACAACATTCGACTATTTCAATATTTGACATTTCAAACATGCACTTCGTATTCCATTTGCAGTGCATCTAATTGAAATTCTCTCTTTGTCGCGAGTTTTATTCGAGTTTGACGAGGACTGGAAATGACAGGGGGGTCACAGATTGACAGTTGAGCTGCATGATATATACTGAATGAGTAGTTCTGCAGTTTGCCGTATATGATATTGTGGGGCAAACTGCGGCGCTGGTGTGCTTGTGTTTCAATCTTCAAATCCTCTGGGAAATGCAAAACTTTATCCAAACAAATAAAGTTCGGATCAGCGCAATTCAATCCGGAGACACATCACAGAGTGGAACTCGAGAAAAACTCTTAAATTGAATTAATGAAATGCTCCTGTTTGAATAAGAACTTTGCAAAGAGTACAAGATAATAGGATTTTTCTCCACTAGCAAATGAAATGCATGAACACATGAACATAATGATAAAATGACGCAA